TCGAGTTCCCTCGAGTCAGAACGTTTAGGGCAGCTCTCAGCTCAGTCTTTGCCCCAAGTGTCCCACCAGAGCTCCTTTGCTCTGTCTCAAACTGCCAGCGTGGCAGCAGGGGGGGGCAAGGCAGTTTAATACTTCTTTTCTGCTCTGGTGTGATCTGTTTTAATTTTGCAGGGGTGCTGACTGGATCAGCACCAAGAAACACCACCCCCCTGGAGTTAACCACTTTCCAACTCCAGGGGAAAACCCTTTTTAGCCTAGGACAGCACCCATGCAAAAATCAAGGGGTTTATACAGTCTGCATACACGATTGCAACATTTTAACATGGATATTCACATGATTACAACATCTAATCATACATATTAATAATAGGCGGGGTCTGGGTGGAGCTTAGGGCGGTGCTTCCCAGTTTCTTCTCTTGGCACTGAATGTTGGTGCTGGTTCCAGCCTTCAGCCTCAAATGGGGGGCCTGTTTCTCTTCCTTCTCGCTTTGACCTCCTCACCTTTCTGTTGTTAACATCCTGACTACTGAAGCTTGCAGAAACCCTTGGCTCTAAGCCCTTTTCTCCTAGTCAGATGTCTACCCTGCCTTAATTTATGACCTCTAGGTTGACTGTGTAGCATTTCCAGCCTTCTTTTTATGATTAGGTTTGGGTCCAGCGAGCAGAACAGAACGAGTTCTTCAGCAGCACAGGCAGAGCAGGTGTCAGGGGGGGTTTCTCAACAGAGCAAGATCCCTCAGTTAACTCTTTTAGACCTTGCTCTCGTTTCAAAAGGACCTGCCCTTGGCCAGGAGGAGGGGGTTGATCCTGGCTGGGTCTCTCCCTCCCCTTGGAAATGGGGAAGAGGAGGGGAAAGAACTGGAGAAGGATTCGTGAGCTGAGATAAGAGCTGGGAGAGGTCACCCACTGATCACCACCACGGGTAAAACAGACTCAAAGTGGGGATATAAGTTAAATTCATTAATTATTCATTAGTTAAATTTATTAATTATTTATTAATTTATTAGTTAAATTTATCTCCTTCCCCTCAGCAACGGGGAAGAGGAGGGGAAAGAACCAGCGAAGGATTCGTGAGTTAAGAGCTGGGAGAGGTCACCCACTGGTCACCATCACAGTGGGCAAAACAGGCTCAGAGTGGGGATATTGGTTAAATTTATTAATTATTTATTAATTTTTAGTTGAATTTATTAATTATTTATTAATTTATTAGTTAAATTTATCTCCCTCCCCTCGGCAACGGGGCAGAGGAGGGGAAAAAAAGGGCAAAGGNTAAGAGCTGGGAGAGGTCACCCACTGATCACCACCATGGGTAAAACAGACTCAGAGTGGGGATATTAGTTAAATTTATTATTTATTTATTAATTTTTTAGTTAAATTTATCTCCCTCCCCTTGGAAATGGGGATATTAGTTAAATTTATTAATTATTTATTAATTTATTAGTTAAATTTATCTCCCTCCCCTTGGAAATGGGGAAGAGGAGGGGAAAGAACCAGTGAAAGACTTGTGAGTTGAGATAAGAGCTGGGAGAGGTCACCCACTGGTCACCATCACAGTGGGCAAAACAGGCTCAGAGTGGGGATATTGGTTAAATTTATTATTTATTTATTTATTTATTAGTTGAATTTGTTAATTAATTATTAATTTATTAGTTAAATTTATCTCCCTCCCCTCAGCAACGGGGAAGAGGAAGGAAAAAATCCGGTGAAAGATTTGTGAGTTAAGAGCTGGGAGAGGTCACCTACTGATCACCACCACGGGCAAAACAGGCTCAGAGTGGGGATATTGGTTAAATTTATTAATTATTTATTAATGTATTAGTTGAATTTATTAATTATTTATTAATTTATTAGTTAAATTTATCTCCCTCCCCTCGGCAACGGGGCAGAGGAGGGGAAAAAAAGGGCAAAGGATTTGTGAGCTGAGATAAGAGCTGGGAGAGGTCACCCACTGATCACCACCATGGGTAAAACATACTCAGAGTGGGGATATTAGTTAAATTTATTAATAATTTATTAATTTATTAGTGAAATTTATTAATTATTTATTAATTTATTAGTTAAATTTATCTCCCTCCCCTCGGCAACGGGGAAGAGGAGGGGAAAAAAAGGGCAAAGGATTCGTGAGCTGAGATAAGAGCTGGGAGAGGTCACCCACTGATCCCCTTGTATTTCCTTCTTCATCTTGTGCTTGTTCATGCCCTTGAACCAAGTCCATTCTTCTTCATTTCATGCTCCTCTTCCCTTGGACCTTCCCCTGCCCCAGACCTTGGCCGTTCACCTTCCTCTCCTTTCAGCCCCCGGCAGCTGGAGCTCGAGCCTGGCACTGCCTCTGAGCTGGGACAGGATCCATGCCTGGTGTTTTCATTCCTGCCACCTTTCTCCTGGGCACTGGCCAGTGCCTGGTGGAGCTGTGCCAGCCCAGCAGCTTGGACTGGGTGTTTGAGAGCTCCAGTTCTCTCCCCCACTTGGCCCTTTTACTTTCCTTCCCCTTCTCAGCCACCTATTACTGATTTGGCCACTGATGAATTCAGCCACTGGAAGGTGTCCCTGCCCCTGGCAGGAGGTTGGAGCTGAATGATTTTTAAGGTTCCTTCCAAGCCAAACCATTCTGGGATCCTGTGGTTGTTTACATATTCCCCACTCTAAACCCCCCCCCCATCTCCACCCATTATTAACCTCACGTGGTCAACCCTTGCACTAAACCATTTTCAACCACCCTGGCAGATGAGCAGACCTGTTATTTCCACTCCTGTATTAGGAGATAAATTAAATTTTTGTCTTTATAGCACTGCTGTCATGGTCCATCCTCCAGCCACGTGTCGTTATTAAATCAAATTAAATCAAATGCCTCCCCTGGCAGGAGGACATGGAGATACACCTTGCTGAGCAAGAGGTCCACCAGGAGATGGATTGTGTCTCTTCCAGCTCAGAACCTTGCTGATTCATCCTGTTTTTCTTGGGCTCCTTTCCACTGAATCTCTTCTAAAATGTCTCTCAACCTGGTCTCGCTTTATGTGATATTTAAATATCACCGTGTGTGATATTTAACCTACACCTTTCCTTGGGCTCTGCAGCAGTTCCATACCAGCCTCAGCCATGAGAGAGGTCCCTGCCCAGCTCCCCAGACATTTTCAGGGATTAATTCCTTCCTGAGAAGTTCTGGTAGACCATCCACACACTCTCCTGCCCCCCTCACTTTTCAGTTGTAATTGTAAAAGCTCCTTTCACCTGCCCAGCTCATGGTCCTTTATCCTCAGATAATTCTTTACAGCTCCTCCCATCCACCTCGTGCTTGTTTTTACTCTGTCAGAGTCTCATCTGTTTTCGATTTAATAATTCTTGTTTGGAGCTTAAAAAATCCCATCAGTGACCTCAGTACCTCAGTTCTTCTCCAACAGCTCAGCCAGACTCCTGCTGTCCTCTAATTCCTGGCATTCCATGTTCTTTTCCTCGTCTGTCCAGCCAGACTCACTTGTCTCACTGACCTACTCTTGATGTTCTGCTTTGGCTTGGACTTTCAAACCACTTCAGCCCTCGGTGTGATTCAACACCATTTATTTATTTTTCATGTTTTATTCTCTGTGTTCTTTGAAACCAGTCCCTGCCCTGCCACTGGCCTGGGGTTTGCTTTTTCCGTGCAGTTTGTGGTGTGGGTTCCCACAGCTCCCACTCATCATCTTCCTCCTCCTCCTCCTCCTCCTCCTCCTCCTCTGAGACACTGAGACTGTCACAGTCCCCACCAACGACCTGCTGGCTCCTTGCAGCAGTGACATGTCTAATATCTTTATTTATAAACTGTCCTTTATTTATTTAAAGCTCATTATTATCTGCTCATTATTATATTAAATCCAACTCCACCTTGTCCTTGAGGTGACAGGGAGCCGAGTCACCTCACCCCCAAGTGACATTATGGCCTTTCCTCTGCTCCAGGATTAACTTTTTCCCACCTCTGTTTGCCTCCAGCCTCCTGAGGGAGGAATTCTTTCCAGCCTGTGGCTGTGGATGACAACAAGAGCAGGGGAAATGCAGCCTGGAATTCACCAGGAATGGGCTCCCACCGTGGAGAACCCGAGGCACAGCTCCTGGGGGGTGTTTGATAAGGACCTGTCACCCCCATTTTTGGGTGGATCCCAGTCCCCTGTAGCTGTGGATAACCTGGAGATCCCATCAGAGTGTTTTATCCAAGGAAGGTGCAATATTCCCCTCTTAATTTCAAGTTTAGAATCTGGAAAGTAAACACCTGAGAAGAAACTGGGTTCTTCCCACACATCCAACCTCCCTCCCTGTCTCTGCTGTCACTGAGGGGTTTCTGGGGGAGATTTTTAGCTCCCTCAGCTCCCTCAGCTCCTTCCTGTTGCACCCAAAGGCTCTCAATTCACATTTCTCAGGGTGCAGCTGTGGATGAATCCTCTGAGCACTTCCAGGGAGGCTTCCCTGGTTTTTTACCCTCTTCCTGTCACTGCAGGACATCTCCAGTCAATTCTAGGGGTATTCAAGAACCCAGAATCTTTTGATTTTTGACAAACTCCATTCTGAGACCAGAATAAAGAATCTCATCTTCAGACTCCTCTTCCAAAAGTTAAAGGATCAGATTCATCCCAGCACTTGCCCTTTCCAAGGAATGTGACTGTGAAGCACACAAAGACTTGCCTGGGCAGCATCTTAGAAGATCACAAAGAGCCTTCTCCAAGGTCTCTCTCCATGGATAATCCATTGATAACGAGGCTCCAGACTCTTCATCTCCTCCTTGTGTTGTTTTTTTGTTTCCAGCCACCACCACTTCACCATTCCAGGAGTTTCCCTTGTTTGGGTTTTCCAGCCTGGCATTTATAAACTTTTCTATCCCTTTTGTTTTTTATTTTTCATTTTGAACGGATCCCGTCTCTCTCCCAGCAGTTTCACCTATTCCAGGGATTTCTCCAGTTCCTTCTAAATTCCATCTTTTTGCTCCACATGTGATTTTTTCCAGCAATGTGGGGGTTATTTCCTACACCCCTGTGTGACACTGGAGCTCAGGAGGCTCTTACCAAGAAGGTCTGTTGGTGTTCTATCAAACCAACCACACGTTTTCCAAGGAATTCTTCCCCTGCTGATGGGATTTGTGAAAATGTACTGGGATGGGGGGGCTGGGAATTATCCTTCTAGTCCTTGCTGGCTCAACTGCACAAAGCTAATAATGTCCTTGCTCCTGATGTCCCACTTTATGTCCTGCTGAGGTCAAGGTTGTGATTTCAACCAGGAGTCCACTGGACTCACCCAATCCCGGGTGATTTTGGGATATCCCTGTGTTTTTTGGGATGTCCCTCTGGTGGTGGGAACTGTGCTGCTGGCACCAGCACTGCCCTGTTAGCTGGAAAACCCTCTGGAAGGGGACAATTGGTGTCGTTGTGTGCAGATATCAACGAGTGCGAGCGGGACCCGCTGCTGTGCCGGGGCGGGATCTGCATGAACACCGACGGCAGCTTCGAGTGCATCTGCCCCCCTGGCCACGAGCTGACGGCTGAGGGCAACACCTGCATAGGTGAGAGGCTGGAAACCTGTGTCACAGCGAGGGCTCGAGGGGAATCACACAGGGAAACTCAGGTCTCGTGCCGGGGGTACGAATATCTTCTTCCCTGGAAGCGCCCGAGACCAGGTCGGAGCAGCCTGGGCTGGTGGAAGGTGTCTCTGCCCATGGCAGAGGGTGGAATGAGATGATCCTTAAGGTCCTTTCCCACCCAAACCACCCTGTGATTCTGTAATATATGGTTAGAACACCCTCACCCAGGAGGGACCAGTGTTGTTCCCAGGGTTTCACTCCATGTACGTTGTTCCTTCTGCTGTTCACTGAGCACCGACCAACGGGGCAACAACAAACTCACTTTGGAGACCCCGGGGTGGGCACCAGGAGATTCCCAGGGTGGGAATCAGCCCAACTGGCTGCTCCAACTGCTCTTCCCCCCCCAGATATCAACGAGTGCTCCCTCAGTGACAACCTGTGTCGCAACGGGCGCTGCGTCAACGTCATCGGCACCTACCAGTGCTCGTGCGACTCGGGCTTCCAGGCCACGCTGGACAGGCAGGGCTGTGTTGGTGAGTCCTCCTCTGTGCCAAAGAGTCATTCCAGGACCCCAGGATGAGCCCAGAGCCCTCCTGGTGTCTTGTCTGTTATTTATAACCCTCAGGGTTGGATGGTTGGAGGGTTGGACGAGGGGGGAACCTCCCGGTTGAGTGACGGCCCAATTTGCCGGTGAGGGAGTGTGGGTGGCTGTGGTTGGGGGGAAGGCACTGGTGTCCTCTTCAGCACCTCTGCTGCGAGGCACATACCCCAAGCCACAACTCAAACTGCTGCCTGAGCTCTCCCTTGTCCCCAGACATCGACGAGTGCACCATCACCAACGGGGGCTGTGACACCCACTGCTCCAACTCGGAGGGCAGCTACGAGTGCAGCTGCAGCGAGGGCTACGCGCTCATGCCAGACAAGAGGTCCTGTGCAGGTCAGTGCCCGTGCCAGACAAGAGGTCCTGTGCAGCTCAGTGCCCACCTCAACCCTCGGAGGTGCTGCCCCAGGCACCTCTGTGGCCGCTTCAGGGCGAGGGAGTCTCGTTTTTGAGCCCGTTCCCCAGGGGTGATTTTCCTGTCCAGCCCCTCTCGCGGGCTCCTGGAACTGCAGGATCTGGAGCAAAGCCCCTCCTGTGCCTCCCTCCTGGGCTTCCACAATCCTGTTTACCTTGGCAATGGTCTCCCCTCTCTAGATATCGATGAGTGTGAGGATAATCCTGACATCTGTGATGGTGGGCAGTGCACAAACATCCCCGGCGAGTACCGGTGCCTCTGCTTCGACGGCTTCATGGCATCCCTGGACATGAAGACCTGCATTGGTGAGGACTGTGGTGGATGCAGGAAGGGATGCAGAGGGTTGCCCCAGAGTCCTTGTGGTGTTCCATGGTTCTTTTCCTCCTGCAGATGTGAACGAGTGTGACCTCAACCCCAACATCTGCCTGCACGGCGAGTGTGAGAACACCAAGGGCTCCTTCATCTGCCACTGCCAGCTCGGCTACTTCGTCAAGAAGGGAACCACAGGGTGCACAGGTGGGACCTCAGCAGACCTGGAGCCTTCCCAGACAGCTCCCACGGCTGCCACGGAGAGGGCACCGTGCCTGGGGTGTTGTGTGGGGGATGCCGTGGGCACCCAGGGGTGTGGCTGTGCTGGGAGCAAATCCTGGGCAGCCACAGGTGGCCAGGAAGGCAGAGTAGAGACAAGAACTCACCTATTTGTAGTTGAAAGCCAAGCCAGGGGCCTGCCCTTCCTTTTACATCATTTTCCAGGGCTGAGCACAAGAAATGCTCCCCAAAATGCTGAGGTTCCCCAAAATGTTGAGGTTCGGGCTCCTGGGATCCACTGGTATCCATGAGCAGGATCAAAGCTGGACCTCCTTCTGGGCAGTCAGAGGTGGCCAGGAAGGCAGGTTAGAGACAAGCACTGACCTATTTCTAGTTGATAGCCAAACCTTTCCTTTTACATCACCTTCCAGCTTCAGCTCAGAGGTCCAACTCCAGGCAGCCTGTTCCCCAAAATGCTGAGGTTCAGGCTCCTGGGATCCATTGGAACCCAAACCCAGGAACAGGATCATAGCTGGACCCCCTTCCTGGGCAGTCAGAGGTGACCAGAAAGGCAGATTAGAGACAAGAGTTGACCTATTTGTAGCTGAAAGCCAAGCCAGGGCCCTGCCCTTCCTTTTGCATCATCTTCCTCAGCCCTTCAGCTCCAGGGTCCAACTCCAGGGAGCCTGTTCCCCAAAATGCTGAGGTTCAGGCTCCTGGGATCCATTGGTATCCAAACCTATGATCAGGATCATAGTTGGACTCCCTCCTGGGCAGTCAGAGGTGGCCAGGAAGGCAGGTTAGAGACAACAACTGACCTATTTCTAATTGATACCCAAGCCAGGGGCTGCTCTTCTTTTTGCATCATTTTCCAGGGCTGAGCACAGCTCAGCTCTTCTGTTCCCCAAAATGCTGAGGTTCAGGCTCCATTGGTATCCAAACCATGAGCAGGATCATAGCTGGACCCCCTTCCTGGGCAGTCAGAGGGGGCCAGGAAGGCAGGTTAGAGACAGGAACTGACCTGTTTCTAGTTGAAAGCCAAACCTTTCCTTTTGCATAATCTTCCAGCTCAGGGGTCTGACTCCAGGCAGCCTGTTCCCCAAAATGCTGAGGTTCAGGGCTCCTGGAATCCATTGGAACCCAAACCCAGGAGCGGGATCATCCCTGTCTGCTCTCTCCTGCCCTGGGAGAGCTGAGCTGGGTGTCCTTCCTCCCCGCAGACATCGACGAGTGCGAGATCGGGGCTCACAACTGCGACATGCACGCCTCCTGCATCAACGTGCCCGGCAGCTTCAAGTGCAAGTGTCGCACGGGCTGGCTCGGGGACGGGCTGAAGTGCAACGGTGAGTCCTCCCCCGGGAGAGGGAGCTCCTGGGGGCACCTCTGGGGGCTGGGCTGAGCTGGCACGTGGGCTGAGAGCGCCAGGAGTCACATGAAGAGCGGCTGAGGGAGCTGGGGGGGCTCAGCCTGGAGAAAAGGAGGGTCAGGGGGGACCTTCTGGCTCTCTGTGACTCCCTGACAGGAGGGGGGAGCTGGGGAGGGTCGGGCTCTGCTCCCAGGGAACAAGGGAGAGGAAGAGGAGACTGAGTGGAGAACTCACTGCAGTTACAACTTCCTTGGGAGGGGCAGAGGAGGGGCAGGGACTGAACTCTGCTCTGGGGGGAGCAGGGACAGGACCCAGGGAATGGCTGGAGCTGTGTCAGGAGAGGTTCAGGTGGGATCTCAGGAAAAGGTTCTTCCCCCAGAGGGTGGTTGGCACTGCCCAGGCTCCCCAGGGCAGTGGGCACAGCCCCAAGGCTGCCAGAGCTCCAGGAGGGTTTGGGTGATCCTCTCAGGCACATGGGGATGGGCCTGTGCAGGGCCAGGACTGGATGCTCCTTGGGGGTCCCTTCCAACCTGGCATGTTCCGGGATTCCATGACAAGAGGAAGCATCCCTTCCCAGGTCTTGTAAAACCCATTCCCAGGGCTGACAGGACCCATTCCCAGGGCTGGTAGCGCCTGTTCCCAGGGCTGCCCATTCCAAAGGCAGGCAGAGCCTATTCCCAGGTCTGGTAAAACCCATTCCCAGGGTTGGCAGGGCCCATTCCCAGGGCTGGTAGAACCTCTTCCCAGGGCTGCCATTCCAAAGGCTGGCAGGACCCATTCCCAGGGCTGGTAGAACCCATTCCTAGGGCTGGTGCAGCACCCATTCCAAAGGCTGACAGGTCCCATTCCCAGGGCTGGTAGAAGTTCCCTCAGGGGAAGTTTAGGTTGAAAATTAGGGAAATTTTATTCACGGAGAGGGTTGTCAAGCCCTGGAACGGGCTGTCCTGGGAGGTGGTGGAGTCACCACCCCTGGAGGGATCTCAAAGCCGTGTAGATGTGGCACCTGGGGCCGCGGGCGAGCGTCGTGGTCACAGAGGCCGGAGAAGCTCCCGGAGATCCGTCGGAGCCTCGCGAGCGCCCGGAGAACCTCCCAGAGCATCCCTGAGCCCCCTGAGCTGCCCAGGCTCGAGGGGCAGGGCCGGAGGCAGAGCCCTGACGGGGTGTTCTCCCTGCCCAGACCTGGACGAGTGTGCAACCGAAGAGCACAAGTGCAACCTCAACGCCAACTGCGTGAACACGCCCGGCTCCTACCGCTGCGCCTGCCGCGAGGGCTTCAACGGCGACGGCTTCTCCTGCTCAGGTGAGGCCACGGGCAGCGGGAATGTGGCCTGGGACGTGGAGTTTTATCCCAGTTATGCCCCAAAAATCCCCCACTTTGACGGGGGCACTGGCAGTTTCTCTTTAAGTGTAGACGATGAATGGACCTGCGTGTTTGAAGGCTTTTAATTCAAAAGTCGTCGTGAAAGGGGTGGTGGGGTGGTGGGGTGTTCTCATCCAAGCTGCAGCAGCTCCAGGGGGGTGGTTAAGCCCCTCACAGCTCGTTAGGCAGATGTAACAAGCCTTAAGTAGAAAGCCTTTAGGGATTGTTATTTCTCACAGTTCCAAATCACTGGATATTCCCTGGAGCTGCTCTCCCAGACAAAATAACTCCCTGATCCCAAGCCATTTTGCTTCCTTTTTTTTTTTCCTACTGCTTCAGCTCAAAGAGTGGTTTGGAATATTTAATTTTGCTTCGTGTTATCGCAGCTTTACTTGAAGAAACAACCCCACTGGAGGAATTCCTCCTGGGCAGACACGTCGTTCTCTTTTCTGAGCTTCTTTCCTTCTCATCCTTCGCCCTCTTCCCCGCCAGCCTGGCTCAGCACCCCGGGGTGCATGTGTCTGGGCTTCCCCAGAAATCCCAGATGTCCCCCCAAAATCCACAGCAGCCCGACTGACACCTCAGATACCTTCAGCAGGGATCCCCCACCCCCTCAGGAGGTGTTTGGGGAGGATCAAGGCAATGAGGAGAACTGCAGCCCCCTCGCAGAAGAGGGGTGGGCTGGGCTTGTGGGAATTTTGAGGGAAGTGCCACGTGCTGGGGGCTGCTGTGTCAGTGTCCTGCTGGGTCTCTCTAGACGTGGATGAGTGTGCAGACAACGTGAACCTGTGTGAGAACGGGCAGTGCCTCAATGCCCCCGGCGGGTACCGCTGCGAGTGCGAGATGGGCTTCAACCCCACCGAGGACAGCAAGGCCTGCCAGGGTGAGTGCCCAGAGTTCTGCCCAGCTCGGTGCCCACCTCCCTTCTGTCCTTCCCTCTCCACTGCTCTGTCACCACCCAGCCCATTGCTAAGGCCCCCCATCACCTGGTGGTGCAAAGCTCTTGAGCTTCCAGCTGGCAGGAGTTGGTCCCCAGCCTTCAGAGGGGTTGGGGTAAGCCAAGGGTTCCTGAAAAATGTGGGCAGGGGTGAGAGGAGAGGGCATTGATGCAGCATTCCTGCAAAATGTGGGCATGGGTGAGAGGAGAGGGCATTGGTGCAGCATTCATGAAAAATTTGGGCATGGGTGAGAGGAGGGGGCACTGATGCAACATTCCTGCAAAATGTGGGCAGGGGTGAGAGGAGAGGGCACTGATGCAGCATTCTTGAAAAATGTGGGCATGGGTGAGAGGAGAGGGCATTGAGAGCAGTCCTGCTCACCCAGGAGATGGTGTCCCATGGCACCAAAAGCCATCCTGAGATGGGTCACCCACAGCAGGGCCGTGGTGGGACAGGAGAAGCCTGTGCTGGCCCTGCCTCTGGCACACCCTGAGTGCCCAGCTCTGCCTGTTTTTGCAGACATCGATGAGTGCACCTTCCAGAACATCTGTGTCTTTGGCACCTGCCAGAACCTGCCCGGGATGTTCCGCTGCGCCTGCGACGATGGATATGAGCTGGACAGGAGTGGAGGCAACTGCACAGGTCAGGGCTGCTGGCAGAGGGGCACTGCTCTGGGTGGCACCAGCAGCCTAAAGCCAGCTCAGTGTCCCTGTGGGACGCTGGAAGGGCGACAGGAGGGACAGCTCAGTGTGGCTCTGCTCCTTTCTGCTGCCTCTGGGAGGGTGGTGGGAGGTGGGACAAGGCAAGGCCCGTTTCTAGAAGGGTTTTGGTGACAGCCCATGAAGAGCTTTAGGGACACCAAGGTGTGGGTGTTCACCTGCAGAGCTCTGTGCCTGTCTTCACCCTGTTTTTCCCTCTCCACCCTTCCATCCTTTCAGACATCAATGAATGTGCAGACCCTGTGAACTGCATCAACGGGCTCTGCGTCAACACCCCTGGCAGCTACTTGTGCAACTGCCCCCAGGACTTCGAGCTGAACCCCACCGGGGTGGGCTGTGTGGGTGAGTGGGGACCTGCATGGAGAGCACCCTGGGTGGCCTTCTTGGGGGTCCCTCAGAGCTGGAACTGGCCACTACCAGGCTGGCTGACCACCAGAAGAAAAGGAGCCATCTCCTGTTGGGCCTGGCCCACCTTGTGTCACCCATGTGGGTGCTCTGCTTCTTGAAGAAGTTATTCCAGGGAAGCTCTGGGGCTGTTCTTGTTCCCTGGAAGTGTCCAAGGCACTGTTGGACAGGGCTTGGAGCAACCTGGGCTGGTGGAAGGTGTCCCTGCCCGTGGCAAGGGGTGGAACTCCACGACCTTCAAGGTCCTCCCAGCCCAAACCAGCCTGGGATCCTGTGATTCTGTTCCTCCTGTGCACACAAAGTTTCCTGGAGGGGCTCTGCTCACCCACCGCTGTCTTTGTGCAGACACCCGTGTCGGGAATTGCTTCCTGGACACCCAGGATCGAGGAGACGGGGGGATCTCCTGCAGTGCAGAGATCGGAGTCGGGGTCACTCGGGCCTCCTGCTGCTGCTCCCTGGGCCGTGCCTGGGGCAACCCCTGCGAGCTGTGCCCCCCAGCCAACACCAGTGAGTTGGGCAGTGCCTGGGGGGAACTCGGGAATGCGGTGGATGGACAGCAGGGAAGGGAGACAGGGATGCTTCCCTATGGATTCTCTACTCAGGGAGGGGCTCCTGGGTCCTGGATTTGCTGGGGAAGCTGAGGGAGAGGGAGGTAACCCTGAGCAGGGCCAGGCAGGGCAGGGGAGGGGTGAAGTGGGGTGGGGGAGACCCGACTGGTCGTGCCTTGTTGGGATTCAGCTTGGGATCCTTCATCCCTAGTCTGGTGGGGGATGTGGAATAACCCTGTTATTCCAGCAGGCAGGCAGAGCCAGGAGGGATAATTTGGCCATGGAAGTCAGGCTGCTCCTTCTGCCACCACCCCTACCCCCGTGGCCTGTTTTTCCCGGGTTTCTCCTGCTTCTCCCTCCCCCTCTTGTTTCCTGGGAGCCTCCCACAAGCTCTGGACCCCCCTGACTGATTTTTCCACAGCCGAGTACAAGACCCTGTGCCCTGGAGGGGAAGGATTCCGGCCCAACCCCATCACTGTCATCCTGGAGGGTGAGTTATCCTGTGCCCCGTGCCCGGGGTGCTGGGGGAGCCCAGCCCTGTGAGGGCACTGCCGGGTGCCCACCTTTGAATCACAGAATCATAGAATCAGCTGGGTTGGAAGGGACCTCTGAGATCATCAATCCAACCCTTGATCCAACCCCGCTGTGGTTCCCAGCCCATGGCACTGATGCCACATCCAGTCTCAGCTTAAAAACCTCCAGGGATGGAGAATCCACCCCTTCCCTGGGCAGCCCATTCCAATGGCTGAGCACCCTCTCTGCAAAGAAATTCTTCCTAATATCCAACCTAACCCTCCCCTGGCACAGCTTCAGACCCAGCCCTCTTGTCTTGCTGATGGTTGGCTGGGAAAAGAGACCAACCCCCCCTGGCTCCCCCCTCCTGTCAGGGAGTTGTAGAGAGTGAGGAGGTCTCCCCTGAGCCTCCTCTTCTCCAGGCTGAACAGCCCCAGCTCCCTCAGCCTCTCCTCACAGCACTTGTGCTCCAGTCCCTTCCCCAGCCTCATTGCTCTCCTCTGGACCTGCTCCAGGACCTCCATGTCCTTCCTGAGCTGAGGGGCCCAGAACTGGACACAGTTTGGATGTGCTCTCCTGGGATGAGCTCCTGCTCCGGGAGGTGTTGGGATGGACCCTCTGGGGTGCCAGGCAAGCCAACACCTCCCTCTGCTCTCCCTCCCCAGACATCGACGAGTGCCAGGAGCTGCCAGGGCTGTGCCAGGGCGGCAACTGCGTCAACACCTTCGGCAGCTTCCAGTGCGAGTGTCCCCTCGGGTACTACCTCAACGAGGACACGCGGATCTGCGAAGGTACTGGGGCCCCAAAATCAGGGAAAATCCCTTCTCTGGGCTGGTGCCCAGCCTGCCCCGACCCCGTGTCGTGCCCTCTCCCCCCGTGCCTGCTGGTTTGACCCCCCACTCGCCCTGTTTTTGGCAGATATCGATGAGTGCTCTGCCCACATCGGGATCTGCGGCCCTGGCACCTGCTACAACACCCTGGGCAACTACACCTGCGTGTGCCCCCCCGAGTACATGCAGGTCAACGGAGGGAACAACTGCATGGGTACGGCAGGGGCTGGGCCATACTGGGCCGTACTGGGCCATACGGGGATGGGGGGGCACTGCCCAGCCTGTGCCCGGGCCTGGTGCTGGGCTGGGGGCTGAGGGGGGGCAGCACAAGGGCTGGGAGTGACCAGTGAGACCCGCTGGCAGGGCCCTTCCCGGGGCTGGCAGAACCTCTTCCCGGGGCTGGTAGAACCTCTTCCCAGGGTTGCCATTCCAAAGGCTGGCAGGACCCATTCCCAGGGGTGGTAGAACCCATTCCCAGGGCTGGTAGAACCCATTCCCACGGTTGGCAGTGCCCAATCCAAAGCCTCACAGCTTCCATTCCCAGGGCTGGTAGAACCCATTCCCAGGGTTGGCAGGGCCCCTTCCCAGAGCTGGTAGCACCTCTTCCCAGGGCTGGTGGAACCTCTTCCCAGGGCTGCCATTCCAAAGGCTGGCAGGACCCATTCCCAGGGCTGGTAGAACCCATTCTTAGGGTTGGCACAGCACCCATTCCCAGAGCTGGTAGAACTCATTCCCAGGGCTGGCAGGGCCCATTCCCAGGGCTGGTAGCACCTCTTCCCAAGGCTGGTAGAACCCATTGCAAAGGCTGACAGGTCCCATTCCCAGGGGTGGTAGAACCCATTCCCAGGGCTGGCAGGGCCCATTCCCAGGGGTGGTAGAACCTCTTCCCAGGGCTGCCATTCCAAAGGCTGGCAGGACCCATTCCTAGGGCTGCCAGAACCCATTCCCAGGGCTGCCATTCCAAAGGCTGGCAGGTCCCATTTCCAGGGCTGGTAGAACCCATTCCCAGGGCTGGCGCAGCACCCGTTCCAAAGCCTGGTAGGTCCCATTCCTAGAGCTGGTAGAACCCATTCCCAGGGCTGGCAGGACCCATTCCCAGGGCTGGCAGTGCCCATGCCAGGCTGGGAATGCTGCCTGTGCTGCCTCTGCAGACATGAGGAAGAGCGTGTGCTACCGCAACTACAACGACACGTGTGAGAACGAGCTCTCCTTCAACATGACCAAGAAGATGTGCTGCTGCTCCTACAACATTGGCAAGGCCTGGAACAAGCCCTGTGAGCCCTGTCCCACCCCTGCCAGCCGTAAGTCACCTCATTCCCTGCTGTCCCCTCGCTTTTCCAGGGATTCTGATGCCCAAAAGCCAGAAAATAACTCCCTAAAACTCTTTTTGGAAGCAAAAAGCACTCGTTTATTCCATGCTGGATGCACAGGAATGTTTTCCCAAGTGTGCATCCTGAGCTATATAGGAGTTAGATCTTTGTACTGTCATCTAATTACAATATTTTTATAAGACTTTATGCTTTCTATTGTCATTTAATTGCAGTATTTGGACATCACCTCAGCTGTTACACCCACTTCCAAAACTGACCCTCCCATAACACCACCCCTGACACACCTCCCAAATTTAACTCAGAGGTCTCAAAGACCCTTCTATCTTCTTATTCCTTGGTCTTTGGCACAGTATCATCCCTTCTGGAATGGTTTCAAGGCTCCTGGAGAGCTTTGCTTGGTTCTTGTCAGAGGTTGTGGGTCTTTCACAGGCAGAGAAACCCCCTTTCCTCCTTAAAATCCCTGTCTGTTGAGATCCTGAACAAAGAAGGTTCAACAGCAGTTTTAGAAACTTTGTCCCAAGGCAGTGGCAAGGTAAAGGTGCCAACAAGCTGGACTAAAACTTAGATAATGTGGATTTTAAGGCTAAAATCCCATGCACTTTGGGGCACAGCCCCTGCCAAGAGGAGGGGGACAAGGGAGAACACCCTGTCACCCTGTGAGTCTGTGCTGAGCCCCTCCTGCCTGGCACCCCCCCAAATCCAGCCATGGCTGGGCCCTCTGTGCCCACTGGGCACGGCCCTGACCTTGAGGTTCCCGTTCCAGCCGAGTACCAGATCCTGTGTGGGAACCAAGCCCCTGGATTTATCATCGACATCCACACGGGGAAGCCCATTGGTGAGTAAATAATCCTTCCCTTCCCCTTCTCCTTCCCCTTTCCCACACCTTCCCTTCCCAGAGGATATCCCTGCAGGGCTGCTGGTGGGTTGTGCTGGGCACAGCCACACTCAGGGACCCCTGAGCCATCCCAGAATTCCAATGGACCCCCTCCCTAGACTCCCCATTTCCAGCCTGGTCCCAGAGCCTGGCCAAGTGTCCCTGTTACTGCAGAGACACCCTTGGAGCAAACAGGGTGGATTCCTGGTAGGAACCTTCCACAGGGTGGATGTCCTGGTAGGAGAAAGCCCCCCAAATGCCCCAAAAAGGAGAAAAAAAAGGCAAAAAATCAGATATATTTAGTACATATATATTTACATATACTACATTTATATACAGTTACAATACTATATATAAATGTAGTATATGTAAATATATATGTACTAAATATATCTGATT